GAGATAAAGTTCTCCTTTGTTATTTTAATTGGTGCATTTCAAATGTATTTATTTATTGGTTCTTTTATATAATTCTGCTTTTATTTCTAACCATGTCAATTTGGTCCTCCATACTGCAAGAAGCCTGATAATCATCCATTCATTCAAATCAGGAGTGTTGGAGCAGAGAAGCAAGTAAAACATGCAGGGCTGCGGCCCTCCAGGACCAGGATTGCCCACCCCTGTCTTAACATTTGAAGTCAGCCTGATTCAAGATGGCTGCCACAGTCAACCGATGTTGAAAACCTCAACATTAGCTACAACTCAGTCAATTTTACAGACACAGAGGTAAAATGTGCTGTGGTAGTAGCTGAGCATCATTCCCATCACATATTCTGAGCTCTAACAGATAAAACAAGGCGGTGGGTGATATGCATTTCTTCAAGTAAGTCTACTTTCACTTATTGTTTTGATATCCACATAATGGATGTGGATCATATATTTTATTTTATTTGTTTTTGCAGTAGCATCAGAGATATTTAGTTATTTCCCAGTCAAAATATCTACATCATATTTGTCATGTACTTGTTAATGGCTGAACAAACAATGTTCCAGAGTCTCTCTTGTTAAGTCATAATGTTTATTCAACAAGAGAAAGACATTCTACATTAGCGATCGTTGCAAAGTCTTCGCTCCAAGCCAACTTGTGTCAATAACAACAGAATGATAAGACAAAATGAGATATAATGCTTATTAGGCGTGGGTCTCTATCGCAGCACAGCAGACAGGAGCTCTCGCCTCTTTTTGGAGAAATGCTGTCTGGGGAGTTGCCAGGCAACAGGTCTGTAGGCGGCAGGCGGCCCCAAAGTGGTGGTGATGGCAGCAAAAGTGCCAGTTTACTGTCATTTTTCACAGCATTAGCCCCTCTAACGGGATCACTATGCAAGGCTGCAGCATGCACAGTGCACCGTCGGAGGACCTGGGACGACACGATGAAGGGAGTGATGAGAGAAGCCAGATCACAAAACGAAAAAGGTCGAGTAGCTAAAAGAAAAGAGTGAGAAAATGTATGAAAACATTCAAATGAATGGAATAATGTAAAGACAGCACAGCATATTAAAAAGAGTCTGTTGAAAGGAAAAAACGTCTAAATAGAGTAGAAAATACCATCTTTGAATATTATTAATGGTCATTTTGAAATAAAATAACAAACTTGCTATTTAAAGCCCAGCCTTTACTGACCATAAACTACATCTACCATAATGCATTTGATTATTTCACCTGTGAAATGACAGCATCCCACCACTAGGTGGCGGTGCACAGGGTTCAAAAGTAGCCAGCAGCTGGAAAAAAATTATGTAAAATCTCTATTTCACTGCATCTCTGCAGGCTACTTTTGCTGCATCTGAGTCGTACTGGGAAGTGGGGATTGCCCACTTACAAGTTGTGAAAGTGGGAGATTTCCAAATTCACCTCTTCAGTGAGTAAAAAACTCTTACTTTTATTAGTATTTCTGTATCATTTATTTAACATTTAGTCAGTTGTATGTTTCAATGTTCATGAGAGGACCTGTTAAAACGCTGTTTCTATGTAGGAAATACCATGTAGAGCTCAGTTATCCTTTTCTTAGCAGTGCCGTAGCAATGAGTCGAGAAACATCAAAGTTAGTTACAGCTGGTCCTTTGGGGGAAACTGCAATGCTCACGTGGTCCTCGGTGAACATGTGTTTGACAAAAACAGAAAAAGTAAATAAATAAAAAGAAACAAACTCAAATAATTTTTTACTTATTTTATCTTCATTTTTCATGAAGCAAGCTTGAAAATGAGTCGCTGCTCAGCTATTGTCAGCCACATTTCCAGTTACAATGCTGTGATGGTGAATCTTTTTGCAAAAATAAAAAAGAAAGAAAAGTAGCCATGAATATGTTCCTTGTGATGAAATATCCATCTCTATGGAGCCTGAAGTCTTTTCAAGTCGCTCTGACTGAAGTGAATTAATTAGAAAACAGAAAACAGAGGCAGCATGAAAGGAATGGAAACACTTTCAAAACCCCAAACTGTATTATGTGTGAAGGAAATTACAACTTGACTGCTGATTCGCTCACTAATCCCTCATTAAACGCTGGCATGTTCTTTTCAAGTCGTTTAAAAGCTAAAACACACGCACATGAAATGACGCCTACACAAAGCGCTGTGCCTCTCTGACTTCCCCTGACTTCACGATCACAGCTGCTGGGGCTCGTTCTTAAAACATGGATCTCAGCCTTTCGGCCTGTTGAGAGCGCGAGGAGGTCGAGCAACAAATGAGGCAAGAAATGGAGAGCTCGCTCATTGTCACCTGCAGCTTTACTCAGAGGTGAGCTGCGTGTGAGCAGACTGTATTTATTTATTTATTTATTTATTTATTTATTTATTTATTTATTTATTTATTTATTTGTGGGGTGGGGGTTGCTAAAAGTTTACCCACTTCTCCTGACAGTATGTGACTAAACGTGTGTGTGTTGCTGAAGGAAACACTTCATCACTCACACTGTCATCAAAGTAGTTTCCACCATGGTGAAATAATGAGGCAGAAATGAGGACAAAAATTGGTGCTGTGGGTGGACATTTTGACTTTAGCAGCAATTTATGTCGGTGTGCTTTTCTGAAATTGAGAAGGAAAAAAATGAATGATGGAAAAAAAAATAAAGAAGACGGAGCGAAAACCTAGAACAGTGCCGAGCGAGGGGGACAAAAACAACAATAGATATTTGTTTTTCTCAAGAGTGTTTGTAAAAGTTTTACCATAAAATGTGGAGCAAAATGCCAGTGCTGTGACCCAGGGGGAACAAACTATTTGCATCCATGTGTGCCCTGGCAGTACAAAAAAATCAATCTCAGAAAAGCGAGCAATTTCGTTTTCTGGATTTTTTTAAATTTTTTTATATATAAGTATCGATTTAGATCTTCTGATTGCTCACCTGGGAACAGGAACTGCCAGTTGTGTTCATGAAGACTGGGAGCAGCGGTGATCGGGCTCCTGTCTGATGGATACATTATTCTTTGTGACACCTGTGATTTTATTTATACGATGATTGGTATTTGTCACATGCTAGTTTTGGGGGGGCCTTAAGGTGAAGGCAGAGCATGGCTGTGCATGTGTCCGCATTTTTCTGTACCGTTAGCAAAATATCTCATGAACCATGGGTTTTATTCTAACTTTCAGAAAGTAATTAATGGCTGCTATACAACTGCATATTAAATCAGTTTTATTTGGTAGTAGCTGAACAGTCATTTGCGGAACATAGAGTGCTAATAGGTAGTATCACATAAGATATCATGAGATTCTGCTTATTGATAAGGTTTGACCAAAACAGAAAAACCCCTGTTATTTTTCAATATAAGATGATCATTTAAAACTCAGACATGGTGGGTGATAGGCATTCCTTCAAGGAATGCTAGCCGCCAGGGTGCGACCCCTGGCACCTGATTAGCCGCCCCATTTAAGTTTGAATTATGGCCTAAAGGGCCTCTCATAATTCTGGCTTAACATTTACACATTGCTATTGTTTATGGAGTGAAGGACATCAGAAATAAAAACCCTCCTCTTCACAAATAAACCAAAGCTTTTCAGCTTGATGGAAAAAAAAAAAAACCTTAATCTGAATAAAGCTGTGCAGAGATGTCCAAACATAGAAGACCAGCAAGGACTGACTAAAATTCACAGTGTTTTCTATTATTTTTGGTAATTTCATTTATTTATTTATTTGGTGCGCTTAATTAAAAAAGTCAGGCGGCTCTGATTTCCTCATCCTTTTATCGTTGGCAAACTTTTATCACGCCGTTTCAAAATCTCCAGCTTTTTTCTTCAAAATTATGCATATAGTCGCCTGGAACTCTTGCACTTATAATTGCTTTGTGCTTATCGTATGCATGCACCCAATTTCCACTTCAAAATTCATATCCTTATTTGGATGGTGTACCTGCAGATGAACAGTGTTTCTGCAGTTTGGTCTGGCTGTGTTGTTAGCAAGGACAGATTGAACAACTGAGCTTTATTGTTTTGTTTTTGGTTATTAAAACACATGAACAGGGCAATGCAGAAACATAGTGACAAACAGTCAGTTTGAAAAGGATGTTATATTTAGACTAGTAGGTGCGATCTGAGGAGTGTAAAGTAGTAGGGCAGGGCTATTTAACTAAACTGCTCTGCGAGCCACAGTTACTGCAGGCCAACAGTTGAGGGGCCGAACATCCAGTAATTAATGTCATTATTTAAATAAACAAAGAATTACAAAGATCTGTTACCTTTGAGATAGCTTATTTTGCTGCATATGCCACCCGTTTAACACAAATAATATTTTGACATCTCTGACATACCAAATTTTTAAGCCAATTTTATTTTCACTTTCATAGTTTTATCTTCAACTGCTAGTTGTTTTAACTGTCTTGGGTGTTCATAGAAATGCTTTTTACCAGCTTCTAGCGAAGATCCTGATGTTTCTGTAGATACCAAACATGTCTACGTCTAACTAAAAGAACTTAAAGTAATTAAAGTCGAAAACTGGGGGTTTGGGGTGTAAGAGATGAACGAACCCATTGGGGGGCCGGATTTTGGTCACTCGTGGGATAGATGTGGCCCACAGGCCGCCAGTTGAATAGCCCTGCACTAGGGTAACAAAACTAAAACTAAAACAACTTTAACAGGAAATGACTGGTAAAAATTCAAGTAAAAGTCATAAAACTGCACACAAAAAAGTAAAATTCAAAGTACTTTTACACACTTTAAGAAACGAGGTGTTGAATTTACTCAACCGAGTTATGTCAATTGGTTCCACTCAGTTAAGTAAATTCAACACTGTTTAGAGTACATACTTAAATATGCATACACATATACATATGCTATAACTCATTTCATGATGGGTTCGGTCAGATTTAAATTTTTAGTGTGTATTGAGTTGTTATCTTTTAAAGTAAAGAAGTARAAGTATCATTTTTGTGTTTTGAATGTAACACAATAAAAGTAAAAGATATGATCTAAAAAATATTTAGTAAAATCACAAATCCTCAAAAAAAAGTTGTATAATAATAAATGTACTTTGTTACTGTACACCTCTGGGTTTGAAGTCACAAACTTTTAGCATCATAGATTAATAATCTATTAATAATCACTCTGTCCTCACTGCAACCACCTAACTGCATCCATACATTTACACATCTTTTACATGCCCAAATGAAATCCGCATTTTTGGCAACTATAAAGTGAGTGACATGGGTTTTTATATGTGCATATTTAACCTAAAACTCTACTCCAAAATTCTGCCCCCCCCCCCTTTTTTTTTTTAGCGTGATACATACAGTTATGGATCTGTTTTCACAGATGTTTGTGATAAATAAATGAACTCAACAACTGGGGCTAAAGAAGGTTGGTTAAAAACAGATTAAAAAAAGAGCTTAAAGCCACAMAACAAGAGTGAGAATTATTTTTACTTAAGTAGCAGAAGCTGAAACATCTCCAGTCACAATCTTGTTACCTTGCAGCATGGAAACCTAGCTACTATAATTAGAAAGATGCTAAGAACCTCTCTCTCTCTCACACACACACCTCTGCCTCCCCACAGAGGTGATTAGATTGATAAGGAACATTTTCTCTTCCTGACGCAATAACAGCGAAGCAGCTGACTGTGGCACCCGATGAGGCTCATGGCTCTGCAGACGACAAACACTGAGAGTCAGCTGTCAGGAAGGCTGCCATGAGTGACACAATAATGCTGGACTCAGTTTATACACAACATCTGCACTGCACTTCCTTAGCAGTATACTGCATATCTTTGAAATGTGAAAGGACTTCATTCGTCCTTAGTGTAAAATAGCTTAAGATTTTAGCTTTGAAGATAAAAACATAAAGATTATCTAAGCTTTTATGAAAAATTCAATATAGTGCAAAATCTGACTTATTGTTTTAGCCTAAAATGTGATTTAATACATAATTTATTGTGTAAAAATCWGTTTTATCAGCATTTAAGAATTGACTGAACTCCTGTGTTATGATTACAATGCTAGTTAGTTTAAGAAAAACCTTGGAGTCAGAATGTCTAAAACATAAAAACGTGTTTAATGGTGAAGACAATGTCTATGTYCAACACAGCAATATCTAGGAGAAACATACAGACTGAACCAACAATATCCATCCATATCCATATAAATGTCTCACCTGTCAATCGTTAAATCTTTTTGATTATTGTGAAAAAACCTCACAGCAGTTTAAATGTGCAAATTTATTTTAACCTGATTTTAATGTTTGCATGAGAAACTCTTGAATAACTGATTAAACTGCTTAGAGTCATGGACTGAATCTGCATATCTAATCTTAGATGAATTAAAAGTATCTAGTCTTTTTGAATGAATTATATCAACTGATTTAACTAATCTTTACTTTAAATGTCAGTTTCAACTTACTGCATCATGTGAATAGTTATTGATCATGGTGCAATAGATATTACATATTACAATACACTCTAAAAATGAAATGTTGGATTTACTTAACCATGTTATGTGACCTGGTTCCACTTAACTGAGTTGARTAAATTCAAAGCAACATACTCATGTTCTTTGGTTAAAAAACTGGTATATTGCTTTGAATTTACTCAACTCAGTTAAGTGGAACCAGGTCACATAACATGGTTAAGTAAATC